GCGCTCGCTGAAATGCCACTCTTCATGAATCAGGGTAAATTATCCGTAAAAATTGAAGATAAACCGATCACATTAACCATAAAAAGTGAGCAACAACTCAAACAATTAGCCAAATTCCATTTGATGATCTTCCGTGATATATTGGAGTGCTGGAAAAATTTTCTGGTGCTTGACAAGCGCAATAAAGAGAACGCATACTTTATAGTACCACTTATTAACAGTAAAATCGATTGGAACTTGGTGCAAAATTTTCAACGTCTCTTGCCACAGCGAAAGTATAGCGTAAGCGAAAGGCAAAAAAAAGTTTATAAGCCAGAGGATTATCTAGGCAAGGTGGTCAATAAGTGGTACTCGGGCAGAGATAATCAAAGATTTGTTGTCACCAAAGTGCTTACAGATCTAACGCCACAAAGCGCTTTCGATAATAATGAATTTTCCAGTTACATTCACTTTTTCGATGCCAAATATAAGAATGAAGTGGATTGTATAGTGCAAAAGGATCAATTTATGCTGGAAGTACGCGCTCTAACTTCGAGAAGAAACTTTTTCGTCAATGCTATCGGCAAGTCAGCAAAATCGCATCACAACAGTTCCATAATACGCCTTATACCGGAACTTTGTCACAACTTCATGTTTCCTGGTGATATGTGGCTCAAAGCTTTGTTGCTACCTAGTATTTTGCATCGCGTTCACTACATGCTTCATGCCGAGGATTTGCGACGCCGTGTTAATAAATTCCTGGGTATAGCATGTGACGTGTCATATCAGCCGAAAAAATTAATGATCGACGAGTCTTTATCGCGAGCTATTGACATGGATGGCAATGCTATGGAAGAGCCACAGGTGAGTGTAGATTTATATTGTAACCGTCAGTAGCCATCATTTGTGGGGTAGCGAAAGTCTTCTGGCCCAGAGTGTAACACAAAGGTCCACTGAACTACACAATGATAGGTGTCCTAACAGGTTTTTACGTAGTGAGGCTAAAGATGTTGGAGGACGCAACTTGTCAAAGTTGCAGTTAGAAAGATTATGGTAGAAACATCTAGACACTTTCATCTTCACCGTCCAGCTAACGTTGAAGCATCTAGGTTGCATTATTTTTTTCTACGAACCCGGCAAATTGGCTGGTGTAGAAAAATATCGGCTCAATAAATTTGTGACTGGTTGTAGGCGCTTTGTAGATATACGACGGTCTTTTTAATCTATTTTATTAATTATTTTTCTTTAAAAAAAAAAATGTCTTACAAGTCACTTTAAAGGAATAATAAAACTTTGCTTATCAATTATGCAGGAGCCGAAAAAAGTACTACCCGCCCTGCCCACACAGGGCAAAGAGACCGTGTTTACGATGACCAATTTAAATGATGTGCTGTGGAAGGACTACCTGGAACCCGAAGATTTAACCCGCAAACAGCAATTAATGTTTCCGGTTGAACTAGACTATTTCTACAAATTTATAAACGGTTCAATATTGGACACTTTGACCTTGAGCGATGAAGAGTGGTCCGAGTCGCAGTTGGATATGCCAAAAAAGCCAGCCCTCGAAACAGCAGGAGACAGTGAGAATATCGACCGTTTGAAATTGTGTGATGCTCCTTTGACGGAAAAGCGCCACCTAAATATATTGGAACTCACGTTAAGCGGTGAAAACTTAAAATCTGCCGAACAGGCAGACTTTTTGGCTGCCCTAACGACAGCTGGCGCTAATGACGTTTTCGATATGGAGCGTTTTGAGTTTTTGGGTGATTCGTTTTTAAAATTCTCTATCTCGCTATATTTGGTGCATAAATTTCCAAAATGGCACGAGGGTTTTTTAACCGAAGTCAAAGGAAAATTTGTATCGAATCGCAATCTTATCTATTGCATGCTTGAGACCGATATACCAGAAAGAATTAGTGGCTATTTATTTAAGCCGCCACATGAATGGTTGCCGCCTTTAGTCAGCTTACCGAGGAATCTGTTACAACTTTTCAACACGAATGAGAATATGCTGAAGAGTTTAACACCGAGTGATCTGTATGCAATTCAATTGACTGAAGATGAAATTATCAATGGTGCTTGTTCAAGCGAACGTCTGAGCCAAATCGTAAGCGGTAGCCAAAGGCATTTTATTGACGATGGACCAGCAGCAGAAGAGAGACGTTTAGACAACGAACTAAACTTGTTTATATACAAAGAGGCGTTGCGCGATAAAGTCGTGGCCGATACATTGGAAGCCATACTGGGTGTTTGTGTGAAAAATTATGGCATTTATAATTCTTTTCGAATGTTAGAATTCTTCGGCATATGCAAACCTGATCCAGGCAAATCTTTTTCACATTTGATGGACCTGAATTTTACCAGCGCCCTGCTGCAAGCAAGTATTTCACCTAAGGAAGTCGACAGTTTTCTTATAAACTATCAAAAATTGGAGGAGAATTTGGGTTACAAATTCCGCGAACGCGCATTTCTCTTGCAGGTATGTATCCGTTATTACTTATGTATTATTGCACCCCGAGTGTTGTAAGTTAAGTTAAGTTTGCAACAAAGGAAACGTCGGAGACCCCATAACTTAAATATATATTAATTACATTTAAAAATGTTTAGTATTAATAAGCAGTCGAAATGTTTAAGTAATGCTTCTTCTTCTATTTATGAATCTTAGGCCTTAACTCATCCTTCCTATCCGACCAATCGCATTACTGGCTGTTATCAGGAACTTGAATTTATTGGCGATGCTATACTGGACTTTCTCATATCGTGCTATATATTCGAACGCTATCAACATATGACGCCAGGCATGCTTACAGATTTACGCTCGGCATTGGTCAATAATGTAACATTAGGTGGTGTGTGTGTGCGTCATCGCTTCCATTTGTTTATACTAGCTGAAAATAGCGCTTTGGCCGAAAAAATTAAAGATTTTGCCAAATATCAAGAAAAACATAACTACATCGTCAGCGACGATGTGCAAATATTGATGGAGGAGACTACAGTGCCTACAAATGATAGAAATGGTGCCGGTTTTAATATGGCGACCAATGTGGAAGTGCCCAAAGCGCTGGGTGACATATTGGAAGCATTAATTGCTGCTGTATATCTTGATAGTCGCGACTTGCGTACAACTTGGCATGTAATTTACGGTTTGCTCGAACAGGAAATCAATCAGTTCACTCAAAATATACCCCAGGACGCTGTGCGCCAATTAGTTGAGCATAACTATGCCAATCCGAAATTCGCCGATCCGATCTGTGATGAGGACGTATACATGGTGAAATGCCAGTTCACATGCCTGAATCGTAGTGTGGAGGTGAATGGCTTTGGTGTAAATGGGAAACTGGCAAAGAAAGCGGCAGCCAAGCAGGCGCTGAAAATTTTAGCGAAACGTTCCACTTAAATAATGTGTTTTTAATTCAATTGCTATACATTCGTATTTAAACGCTAGTACAGTAAATATTCGAATTGCACTGTAGCTAGAGGTAGGAAAATAAATTATATTTTATTAGGTTGTCAAAAAAGCTTTGCGGTATTTTCGCTAGTTGACGCTGAGAGCGCTTAGTTCTAGTTTTATCCGTCGCATCGGGTCATGCTATACCTTTTTGGAAAGCTCATTTCACGCGCTAACACGTGTTTGATTGATTTTGAGTTATAGCGTCGCAAACATGGAGCAAAATAAAGAGAAACAACGGCATATTTTACAGTACTACTACGATAAAGGCAAAAATGCATCTCAAGCCGCCAATAAAATTTGTGCAGTTTATGGACCTAATACAGTTTCCATTTCCACCGCACAACGATGGTTTCAACGTTTTCGTTCTGGTGTAGAGGTGGTTGAAGATGCGCCACGCTCCGGAAGGCCTGCGATAAAATCGCTGAATTGGTCGAAAGAGACCGGCATAGTAGCAGCCGTAGCATCGGTCAAGAGCTGGGCATGAGTCATCAACATTCATAAAGTAAAAAAAATAAAATAAAAAAATAAAATAAAAAAATTAAAAATACCACAAGACTTTTTTGACAAACTATTATTTGTTTATTTTTTTTAAATTATGTTCTTAATTTGGAAATTATCTTATTGGCATTTTTTGATTTTGCGTAAACAAAAAAAAAAAAAAAATTGTTATAGCTCTTCTGATTTTTTGTCAAAAGCTAAAATTTTCCTTTATAGTTTTCAAAAAGAGTTCAACTTGTAATACACATATTGCACGCCACATACACACCATATACATTTCGATTTCTCATGCACATGCACATGTTTATATGCATGTGCCTAATTATTTTATTAAATACAAAAATATATAATAAAAAATAAAAAATAAAATAAAAATAAAAATTTAATATACACTATTTAGTCGTGAGTTAAAAGCGATTGTCAGTACACAGCAATAGAGACGAGAAAATTGCGGTTCAGAAAAATGAGAAGAAGAGCTTAGTGTTAAATGCCGCATGAAGAGCACTGCATTACAATCCTTGGCAGAAAGCTTTGCTCAAGTCGTTGTGTAGATGATATCTTATTATTGACTTCGAGCTGTAATATCCTTTTATTTGTAGCACTTTGTACCTCGAAAGCAATCAGTTCAACATCATATGATAAAACATCACTACCAATTAACTCTGCACTATAGGCAGGCTTTCTATATGCCCGGCAGCTAAGAACAAAAATGCCATGTCACATCAACGCAATCACATGTTGTTACATCAAGTCAATTTATCACACTTCGACAACCAATTTGTGTCCTTTTGCGCTATGGGCATGCACTTTCTCATATACCACATACATACATGCATGGCAGGCAAGAACAAAATTTCATGTCACATCAACGCCTATTAAATCACGTTATCTCATAGTAAGATTGTACGATCAAATATCAGATTATATGATGACCAGTCACTATTATTTAGGAAACCCAGTCAATGGGAGAGACTAGTGCTTGCAAGTTTTGCAATTTTTGAATTTCAACTATTCCCAATTATTTAGACTCTTCTGTAGGCACAGCTATAGAAAAACACATGGTGCGGAAGCAACGAAAAACAGCTGATTGCCGTAGCCATTAATTTGGTTTTAACACCTAATGAAAAATTATATCATACAAATGAAAACTATTTAAGTAAAACAAATCGTATATTAGTTGTGATTTATTTAATAAAATAATGTCGTCAGTCTCTGCTGCTGCTGCCCTGGAAACTGAGGATCCCATAGAGTTGATGCTTAAGAAAACTGGTTGCATTGAGTTGCATTACAAAGTACAAGAGTGCATTGCTGAAACAGGAGATTGGCGCCGCTGCCAAGAGGTAGTGAAAGAGTTTAAGCAGTGCATGCAAAAATACACAGAAGCACAAATGAAAAAATACGCTGAAACCAAATAAAAAGCAAACAATAATAATAAGAAAATGCTTAAACGAATTTTCAGTGCCATTACTACACCACGTACGAAACTGGTGTTAGTGGTGCGAGGAGATTTAAAAATGTCTAAAGGGAAAACTGCTGCACAATGCGCGCATGCAGCTATACTTTGTTATCAACAATCTCAACAAGACCAAGATAAGCAAAAATTAGTAGAATGTTGGTCATTTTCGGGACAACCAAAAATCGTATTGCGCGCAAATACTTTAGAAGAGCTTACAAATTTACAAAATCGTGCCAAGACAGCAGGTGTAGTCGCTGAATTAGTAAGAGATGCAGGGCGTACGCAATTAGAAGCTGGTACAGCAACGGTTTTGGGTATTGGACCGGATATAGAAAAAAACGTAGATGAATTGGTATCCAATTTAAAACTATTGTAGTTTATTAACTGAAGAAATAAATATAATTTATTATCGAAAAAATTTAACAAAAAATTTTAACAAATTTTATTTTAATCTGTTTTCTTACTTCGTGTGGATATGGTGAAGGAGATTGGTTTGCCAAATGTTTCTACTAAATCAGATGTTACACGTTCGGTGATTTGTTTTAATTTTCCATTCGACTCGCCACAAATTAAACGTTCAATACGCGTTGACGGACAAGTTACCTCTACTGATGCATAAATGGTACCTGTACATAAGGATACACTATTATAACAGATATCATAAGTATTAACTATATTTAATACCGTTCTCTTCGGAGAAGTATTCAATTGCGCTATGCAAGTTATATGGAATTTCTTGTGGTAAGTAATCTAATAGTCTGGCACGTACACTCTCCACTATAAGTGCTTCCGGTTTTTCGTCAGTAAAAGAACCTTTGGAATACTCCCAAGATCTCTCCTTTGCAACTCTTACCAGATAATCCTTATTACAATTGCAGCAAAATATTGTTAATTTATTAGTATTGGTTTTATTTAAATTGGAATACTCTGAATTGTTACTTACTTGTATATCATTTAGTCCACTACCAGTAATGGAGGAAACTAGGAAAACCTCCTGAAAGTTATTCCAACTGACATCTTTCTTATCCTCTGTATTTGCTAAAGGTTTATCAACAGACTCTTCAATTCGCTTATACTGTTGCCTTTGATGTTTATTCCCAACTGATTGTGTGGTGTTAATAGTATTGTTGGTTAGCACGCGTATCAGTTCAAGCAGCACTCGTTTAGATCTGAGCGCATCAATCTTGTTCAAAATCAAAAAGCTTGGTAAATGTTTGTATTCATTCAGCGTTTCGATGACAGTGGAATGTAAAGCATTTCTCGTCCATGAATTGGAAACATCATGCATACAAGCGATAACATCCGCATGTTGAATTGCATGTTTGTAGGCGCTTTTGAAACTTTGTTCCAAATTATGGCGTTTAATTTCACGTGGTGTCACTAAACCTGGTGTATCATATAATACAAGTTGGGTTTGTCCCGTTGTGTAAATTGCTTTGCTAGATTTTCGTGTTGTATGCACTTTAGACGATGTCGGACATACCTAAGTACTAAACTCAATTATAAAGCTCAATTTTAGAGATTCGTAACAACCTTACCCGATGATTAATTAAGTTGTTAATAAATGTACTTTTCCCTGCGTTTGGAACTCCAATAACCGCTATATGCAACGAGTTCTGCGTGCGTTTACGCTGTGCTTTCTGACCATGAGTAACAAGGTCGGTTGTCGTGTCGGCAGATGCAGAAATCTGTGAAGTTGTCGAGTTGTCATCCAACGACGACAAACTATAGCTACGTATATCTCCTGTGCGAACTTTATTATATTTACTGAATCTTAGCAAATATTTGTTTACACTTGCAAAGTTATTCAATAAAAATTCCATAATTATCGTACTAGAGCAGTATAGTTGCAGAGAAATTTTTCATAATAATTGCGAAAACAAAATACAATCAAAGAAGATGCCAGATGAAATTTATATAATTTTTTGGTATTTCGATATACAGAAACCGATGTTTAGGCAAGTGTTGGTATTGTAAAAGCGATAAATTTAATATAGTGGTAGGGTTATTCAATGTTTGGTTTTGCTATCTCAAAGTAAAGTCGTGATTAATTTAATTAAAACTACTTCTTTCGGTAAAGATTTTGCTACTTGTTATTTTGAAAGAAACCAACATATGATGTTTGTTTGTATCCTTAACCTTTAATCAGTTCCATTGCAATAAATGATATCAAAAGTTGTTAATGCATGATTTTAAACATTGCTTCGACAATATCAAACGCTTGTTGTGCAGTAGTTTAGTTTATAAAAATCTGTTGGCTAACAACAAAATGGTATTTGTTAACAAATATACAAAAATAATCGGTTAACGTTAAACTCGTTACTCTATTATCGCTACCAATAAATTAACTATAGTCTATGTTATCGGTATAATAACTGGTAGCAAACGTTTTCAGCTTGTATTTGTTTCCGCTTATTCCTTCTTTCGTTTGTCTTTCATAAACAGCTGAACTGAATAAGCGTATTTAACTTTATTGTAAATACTTCTAACAATAAAAATTTATATACATAATTTGAAGTATCGTGTTATTGAGATAATTATTTTTAAAGTGCAAAATATATAAAATCAACTAACAAAAATGTCACAAGTTGAAGCAGTGCAAATAATTGCGGAGTCTCTAAAAGAGCAGGTAAAGTGTTCACAAAGGGCTTGATTGTGAACCTTAGGGGGTTTCTTAAACGCAATAAGAAATTATGGAATGATAATGCTATTTTTTTTATAATATTAATATATTTATAGATTTATAATAGAAATATTAATATTATTTTAGTATAAGACTATAAAATCTTATTCCTGTTAGGCTTGAAATTAGCAAATATATGTTACTTTTCATAGTATAGTATATAGATATTATATTACCATATTTCGATTAGGCTTTTATATCTGACCCCATTGCAAAATACTTATTTTTTTTTTTATCAGCAGCAAAGTTCGTTGAGCAAAGTGCACCTGTAAAATATTGATGATCATTTAAGTATATACCAATATATATATGATCTTTGTTAGCTGAATTAATAAGGCAATATGTATGTTAATGATTTACTTAATCTTAGCGCTGCAGCTCTTATCAAAGAATGCCGTGATAACTCTTGGTAAAAAATAAAGATAATTATACCGAAAATAATTTCAGTTACGCATGGTATACGCACACACATACATATCTAATATTAACGTATCGAAATGAAGGTAGAATTGTTTTGATTTAAGGAATATTTGTTTGCCATAGAATTGCCAATTGTGGAATATGTTGTAAAAAGATTCCTATAATTATAACGAAATCTCGGCGAACCTATAAAGTACATACATACATATATAAATAAATGCTAAGCGGGGCGAACTGAGTTGATTTTGCATGGCCCGCACGTCTTTTCCTCTCCGTCGGATTTTTCGAATACGGCGATATCTTACCCTAATACTATATAACATATAGCTGCTATACAAACTGACTTTGTATCTTAACGTAATTTTGCATGGACTATTCTCTAAAGTATTCTCGATCAAAATCAAGTTTTAGTATAGAATATTTTGTATTTGTAAGGGACATAATAGCTTTGGTGTAGCCGAAGTTAACGTGTTTTCTAGTTTACATTTATTTTAGAAACTCTGAGACGCTATATAATTCTGTTTACTTTCTCTTTAAAGGGTGTAGAATATGTCTTCGGTATTATCGGTATACCTGTCATTGAACTGTCGATGGCTTTTCAAGTTGCTGGCCTTAAGTACATTGGAATGCGTAACGAGCAGTCAGCTTGCTATGCCGCTCAGGCAATTGGCTTCTTAACTGGCAAACCTGCTGTATGTCTTGTTGTTTCTGGACCCGGATTGCTGCATGTAACCGGTACGTTGTCGGATAACAAATATTGTTAAAAAAACACTATTATTATTATTTTTATTTTATTAATTTTTAGGTGGTATGGCGAATGCGCAAGTCAATTGTTGGCCATTGCTTGTAATTGGTGGCTCAACCAGTCAGGATCATGAAGGTATTGGCGGCTTTCAAGAGTATCCGCAAGTGGAAATTTCACGTCCATACTGCAAGTATGCGGCTCGTCCACCAACTGCATCCCTAATACCACTGCACGTGGAGAAGGCTGTGCGTTATGCGACATACGGACGCCCTGGTGTCTCTTATCTAGATTTTCCCGGGAATTTATTGCAATCACGTGTGCAGCAAGACAAGATCTATAAAACTTTGCCACATCCAGTTGCGCCACTGGTGTATCCGGCACATGACGATGTTATACGTGCCGCCAATTTGTTGCGCACAGCAAAGCGTCCACTTGTAATCATTGGAAAAGGTGCGGCTTACGCACATGCCGAAAATATTTTACGACACTTCATTGAGAACACCAATCTGCCCTTCCTGCCGACGCCAATGGGCAAAGGTGTTGTTTCGGATACAGCGCCACAATGCGTCTCCTCTGCGCGTTCGTTGGCATTGCAAAAGGCAGATGTCGTGTTGTTGCTGGGTGCACGTCTAAATTGGATACTACATTTCGGCAAGCCACCACGCTACAGTGTCGATGTCAAATTCATCCAAGTAAGTACTTAAAAAATATTTCGTATTTCTTATTTTGTCTAAATATTTTCCTTTCTACAGGTCGATATTTGCCCAGAAGAATTGCACAATTCTGTTCAAGCCTCGATCGCCATACAATCGGACATTAAGCCGTTCGCTGAACAAATCTTTGAGCAAATGAACGCAGTGAATTTCGAATTGCCAAATGACAACCCATGGTGGGAAGAGCTAGCCGACAAATGCAAACGCAATCGTGAACAAGTGCGTAGTATGGCATTACAGACTGCCTCGCCACTAAATTACTATACCGTTTTTCATCATTTGCGTGAGTTGATACCGCGTGATGCTATTATTGTAAGTGAGGGCGCCAATACCATGGACATTGGACGTACGATGCTCTTCAACATACTGCCACGTCATCGTTTAGATGCTGGCACCTTTGGCACTATGGGCGTTGGTCCCGGTTTCGCCATTGCGGCAGCACTCTATTGCCGCGATCGTTACCCTGGCAAGCGTGTAATATGCGTGGAAGGTGATAGTGCTTTCGGCTTTTCCGGCATGGAATTGGAGACCATGGTACGCTACAAGCTGCCAATTACAATTGTTATTGTTAACAATAACGGTATATATGGTGGCTTCGATCAGGAAGCATTCGATTCCATTCGTAATTCCGGCGATTTGTCACAAGTGTAAGTTCCCAAATCGAAAGTTTTTAGTGTTTTCCATTATGTTCATGTGTTTGTTTACGTTTGCAGTACACCACCATCCGCTTTGGGCGTACAAGTTCGCTATGAAGAAATGATGAAAATGTTCGGTTTGTCCGGCTACTTCTGCAAGGAGATACCAGAACTGCAGGCAGCTCTGAAGGATGCGCAAAAACTGTCCGACAAGCCAACCATCATTAATGTAGCAATAAATCCATCATCGGATCGCAAGCCACAGACATTTAACTGGTTAACTGAGTCGAAATTGTAAATTTTCTTTTGCGTAAATGCGAATTTCTTTACACAGCGCTAAATCGTAAACAATTGCTTTCTTGCATACACATACAATCACTTTATTTTATATTTATATATATTTAAAGAGCATTGTTACAAAAGCTGTGAAAATTAACGGTTCTTTTTAAGCTATTTTCTGCGCCACTGACATAATTACGGGTAGTTGCTATTTATAGGAATGTAATTCCTTTTTTTAAGATGAAATATGTTTTTTGTGTGTATGCATACTTGAAATAATATTCAAATATTGGTTGTGGTCACTGTAGTAACAGTGCTCAAGTATTGGCTTATTTAGTACAGTTGTAACATATGTTTTTTTTCGCACATTCCAACAATTAACGCACTTCAGTGTATGTTTGTGAATATGAATTTGTCCATTTATGTGAAGTTGTTTTGAGATGATTTTATGAATTTATATATATACGTACATATTTATATGCATATGTGCTTATTAAAATTTATATACCTTCTTCGAAGTACGAAGTACGAATTCAATTTGCCATTTTTATTTACTTTTTCCTTCAACATTTTCACTCAAAATGTAAATATGCAATGACATATATCTATGTATGTATAAACAATACAGAGTGATACGCATTCAAAACAAGAAAAAATGTTAATTTCGACTGCAACGAGGCTGTAATACCCTACACAGTTGCTCCTCGTTGCTGTTTAACTTCTACATCTGTAAACTCCCGCATCAATCAGAGAGAATTTCTATCACCACGATCATATTCATGAATTGAACGAAGGAGTACAGACTTGACCTTAATATTGCAGTCGATGCCGTTAAGATTTCGACTGATCTTCGACTGCCTGTCCTCCTGCACTCCTCAAACGACCGCTGTTATCGCCAAAGTACACAGCCGCAAAAAAATCTTAAGTCGCTAGACGGCAGTACGTGGGAAAAGGAGAACTAAAAGTTGTTGGCAACATACAAGGCAATCGTTCGGCTGGTTCTTAACTACGCTGCAGTAATATGGTCGCCGGCATGCTGTGAAACTAAGACGAGCTGCAAACTCATGAGAACACTGCATTCCGGACTACGACGGGATGCTTCCTAGGAGCTTCCTACGTCGATGACGTAAAACAATACACCGACCAGACTTCGGACGAAACTAACTTCCGACAAGCATTGACCACCATTCACAGTGGAGCCATTAACATCTTCACCGACTCCCTCCCAGTGAATGGCATATTTGGAGTCAAACCATCATCCAATGCAGACGAAAAGCTCGAGTTGTCGCGAGCAACAAGAGTGACCATGGCGCAGCTTCGTTCTGGATACTGTAGCAGATTTCTTATTTATAAAGAATAGACTCTGACAGATCAAACGTATCTCCAGTGTGCAATGAGTCTCCGCATGATACTAGCCACGTCTATGCATGCCCCATGAACCCTACTCATCTTTATTAAGTCTAAGCGTCTAGTAACTTAACTCGGCAGTTCCTCCTTTGGTTTTGCCTCCTCATCCAAACCCAAGTATTGCAGGAAACAGCTGATATTTACCAAACGTCCCTTATGTAGGAATAGTTCGAAATTGATATTCATTGGTGCTATGTCGGGCACTTTGCCGCAACCCATGTCGATGAAGTTCAGGAAATCGCAGACCTCATCCCTTAGTTCCGACCCCGTCGAAACTGCACGTTTCCTGAGCCTACCTAATCCTTACGATCCTAACGGGATTAGATACCCATTACAACAACAACTTGATAACCATACAATGACTTTGGTTTGATCGTTCAGTGTGGATGACAACTGGCAGCTTCCTGGTGGAATGAAGACGTCTACAAAATTTCAGATCGATGTTTAAAAAATTGATGGACTAGTTCGCGTATGAAGAGACAGACAGACGGGAGAACAGACGGATATGGCTAAGTCGACTTTGTTTTCGACGTACACAAACTACGCGACAAACCTCATATTAAAATAACTGTACTATTTTCGTTGCAGTCGTTTACAAAAGGATTTACTTCTAACGAGATGCGTTTATTTATTTAATTATATCATTTTGATGCTGTAAGTGTGGCAGTAGAAAATAAAATGTATAGACAAATAATTTGAATCTTATGAAAATTACAATGCAACTCTTCTTTATTAAGTCGAAGCGTACTTAACTCGCCAGTTCCTCTTTTGGTTTTGCCTCCTCATCCAAACCCAAGTATTGCAGGAAACAGCTGATATTTACCAAACGTCCCTTATGTAGGAATGGTATCTTAGGACATAGTTCGAAATTGATATTCATTGGCGCTATGTCGGGCACTTTGCCGCAACCCATATCGATGAAGTTCAGGAAATCGCAGACCTCAACCTCACCGCAGTCATTGTGATTTAATACGCTGAGTAGATCATCAATTAGTTCCGGTATGAATGGCAGGCGGCAACCCTTCATTGTTGAGCGCAATTTCGCCTCGGATAGGAAGGGTTTGTTCAGCGGATTTATGTGGTGTAAATGTTCCTTCAACTCGTCCATTGCATTCCATAGTGAACGCTTCAACTCCAAGTGCACCGCAGCACGTACCGTCTCCCGATTGCATGCCTGTGGCGGYGCTTTTTCGGCTGAGAAGTAGCGACACACCGTAATGATTTCATGATTCGTGATGTTGTCAGCCAAAAGATTGATAAGTGCGCGCTTAAGCGAATCGAAACCAATGAATTGCACATCCTTAACGGATTCAGCGCCGTCCGGCAAGCAACGACAAATGAAGCCCTTATAATCTGACTTCGCCGCATCGCGTATTTTCAGCATAATTGACTTAATATCGGCCATTGGATACTGTAAAAATAAAGAATAATATGTGAAACATATTATATACCGTTATATTGCATGTGGRAGCCACCTCATATGGATGATGCTCCATGTAAATAAGTGTATACTCGTCAGCGGAAACAATGTGAAAGATGTGATCTTTGAGGCTCATTGTGGCGCCAATATAAAAATTATATGGCTGATAGTATTGTGGGCGCTTCGAGGTGAACTTCTCTTGGCCCGGCAGTGGTATGCGTGTACGTTTCATAAATTCGCCGCCCAAGAAACCGGAATTCCGTTCGGCAATCTCAAAGATTTGTATGGTATCATCGGATAGGTAATACGAAATGATGAAAATGCGTTCACAATTCTCACGTATGGTCGATAACAGTTTCGCGCCGAACCGCAGCACGTAGCGATCAAGTTTGATGAATTTCTTAAAGTCAGTCTGCGGCGGCTTGGGCTCAACTGAAATGCAATTGCCCTCAGAATCCTCATATGAACCCCAGCCATTATATGGTGGCAGTATGCGTTCTTTTTGTTTAATCGGCGCACAATCGTCTCCACGTGACGGTATCGGTGCCGCAGTAAAGTTCTCAATACCGTACTGAAATCATAAGAGRGATAGTCTGGCAGTTAAGTGAAAATATCAGTGAATTCAAAGTGTTACGAACCCGTTTTCTATAATACTCTTGTGTGTATTCATCGCAATCCGTGAGCACAACGGCACGTCCGTAGACGTTTAGCACAGTACCGATTTGTAGATCACGATCGGCATAGTAGAGCACCTCTTTTTCGCCGATGTTCAGTGGATCAATGGTGTAGCGTACATTTCGCATGCTCGTGCCGAGCACATTCAACAACGTTTGCGGAGTCTCTTGCCCAGGTAGTGGAAGTCCATTGAATTCCTTGAAGTAAAATTAGTTATAAGCCGAAATTGGTAGTAATTTTACGCGTAAAACTCAGTAATGGCATTATCCCTACTGACATTTCCGACCTCTTACGTATGGCTAGCCTCGTTTTGAGGTGTATCTGAAATTGTTGCTTAGAAACTGTACTCTCTCTCTTCTGTCGCCCTTAAAGTCACACTTTAGAGGATCTGAGATACGAATGTGTGTATTCGACGCTAGGACCACATATTTTTGTTCAGAGAAATGAACACGCAAGTGAGGSTAGTTCTCTGAGCGCCAGAAATGATTCTTTTACATATGACTCAAACAGCTCACGACTTCCGGTCTTAGACCAATTACCGTCTGGATAGTCAATAAGTTTCCGTTTGAAAGCGAGCTAAAGTGAAAAGGTGAAACATACTTCATCAGGATTGTGCGCTGGGTTTGGGACCCACCACGTAAAACACATCGCCAATGAAAAGAAAAAAACAGTCTTGGATAAGAGACCACCCTTTTGATCCTGTCCGCACTGGCAAAAGCGAATACCGCAGTCGATGGAACGATGAACTGTACGGGATATACGACGACATTGATATACTTCAGTGAATTGAGAGACAACGGATCCGTTGGTTAGGTCATGTCGTCCGAATGGATGAAAATACTCCAGCTTTGAGGATATTCGACGCAGTGCCTGCCGAGAAGGCAGAGGAAGACCTCCACTCCGTTCGAAAAACCAGATTAAAAAGAAGCTGGATACACTTGAAATATCCTATTGGCGTCAAACAGCGAAAGGGAAGATCKATTKKCGAGATTTTGTAAACYCGGCTATAACAAATAAAAAAGAAGTAATAGTATACAAAAGCGCTTTGCACCAAGAGATGGGGTCCACGGTTATTTTATGTACTATGACATCTTCGGTAGATTTTTTAAAGAAATTTTCTTCAGAAAAGATACCAGCAGATTTTTGACAAGATTGATTTTAAACGGGCCATGTAAATAAATAAAATCCGATGGCAATTACCTCGCTACATACACAATTCTATCAATTACTTACCCTTGGCAGTTTGCCCCTTTTCAGGAAGAGCGATGGACCTTCACGCCCTGAGTTCCGTGGAAAAATTTCTTTTATATCCATTGTATCATCAGCYAAATAATAGCATATTTCCAAGCGACGCACATCGCCGAACTCCGAACGATCATCCCAGTAGCCGTGGAATTTCAGCACTTTCCGATCGAACGCCAAAAATTGTGCGAATGAATGCTTTTTTGGTGGTTGATTATGGATCTTTCTTGCCGACCGTTTACGCATTTCTGTTGTGGGATCACTGAAAGTGAATTAAAACTTTTAAGTGTCATTGAAATCTTATACGCCATAATTGTTGCAGAAACGTACACTGGCATATCGACGGGATCTGGTACGGCTATACCCGAACGATTTAGGAAATGTCGCGTAAAAAGGTCACAATTTGTAATATGATAAATGCGATCGAATATCTGTATGCTCGTATCGACRTTAAGGTCCAATATCGAGATGAATTCATTTTGGCACGGTGGTGGTTTCGGTATACGTTGACGATGCACCARACAGCCTTGCGGTATGCCAGAGTTGTCCACTTTCGGTTCAGTGATTTGCATGGTGCCATCTTCCAGATAATACATAATCTTCACTTTACGCACTTGATAGGGCGCATTGTAGACTTCGTGTAGCGTCTCCTTAAAGAACGCATCGAAACCCAATACTTTCTTATCGTAAGCAATCCATGGTGGCAGTCGGGGTCCMGTCTTTGGCGGATATAGTGATGGTGTGGCTGTCGGTGGGCAGTTGATGTCGATGCACATACCGCCAACGTCCACCATGGCGGGTGGTTGGCGATCGTTCAACATGCTTATRCCCTGGMAATTCATAAGGCTCTGCGGCTTGGGGAAGTTCGTGCGAGATAGCTGTAAATTTATGTTTGTTTATATATTTTTATAGCTACTTCTTTGTTTGTATGTTTGTGTGTGTTCCGAGTACTTGTTTACCGTTTAGCGTRACACTTACATCCCGAAAGGTGGTGCCTGGCAAAAACGGCATTCCCGGTATACGCAGCATCTTCGTTAAGTTTTATTGAGCGCTTTCGGTTTCAAAATGTGTAAAAATCGTTAGGTTTGCTGTAAAAATCAATACAAAATAAACGCGTGAGTTTAAAATTTCTTTCTTTACAAATTTCGTCAAATTTTACAAAAAAACAGCGAGCGAAATTCTGTAGTTTTAGTAAATATTTTTCGAAAACGATTTTCATATGTATATTTTTTATTATTTTTTTAAACGCTTTGTGTGTCACTTATTTGTTTTGCTTTTTATGCTACTTTTGTTCCCCAAGTGTTTACTAGGGTTTTGCATCGACAAACTGCATAAACAGAAATATGTAGGCGAGTACGTAGTGAAATAAATATGGACTAAACAATCGGGCAGCCGCTATAGCAATGGATGTGCTACATACCCACATAGACACATATGTGTGTGTGGTGGTGGTGCTGAGCGCGACTGGTTGCTATGACCCTGTTCTTTTTGATTGGTCGGAAGAGCCACATAAACATTCCTGAAAAAAATTTCGTGAGTTTGTTATGGAATTCACGAACGTATCTAAATCATTAAGTTTTTAGAGGCTTTATTTCCTATCAGTTAGGACTTCACCTTGCTAATTTTTGTGTGTCATAGATTCACTCGAATTACTTCCCATAAGGGTCGTCGAATGACTCTTAAAAAACATTATTATTGTTAAGATATCAAAACTTAAACATGTAAAGTATCCACAAAAAAATCAAAAGGAAGCTGCTGAGGTCAGACGACAGTTAAACTTCTTCTTCTCCTTTATTGGCGTAGACATTGCTTACGCAGTTATAGCTGAGTTTAGAGCAGCGCGCCAGTCGTTTTCCTTTTCGCTGTTTGGCCAATTGCAGATTCCATGTGTAGCCAGGTCCTTCTACCCTGGTCTTTCCAACGGTGTAGAGTTCTTCTTCTTTCTCTGCATTCCCCGGCGGGTATGACGTCGAATACTCTCAGAGYTGGACCAAGCCTGAACTAGCCAGTGTAGCCGCTGTCTCTTAATTCGCTGAACTATGTCAATGTCGTCGTATATCCCGTACAGCTCATGATTCCATCGATTGCGGTATTCACCGTAAATAACCATAAATCTTTCGCAGAAACTTTCACTAGAAAACTCATAACGCTGACTCGTCAGAGGTTGGCATCGTCCATGTCCCTGCACCTTATAGCAGAAAGGAGATAAAGAGCGACTTGTAGAGTTTGGTCTTCATTCGTCGAGAGAGGACTTAACAWCTCAATCACCTACTCAGTTCGAAATAGCATCTGTTGGCAAAATTTATCCTACGTTGGATTTTGAGGCTGACGTTCTAGCTGKTGTTAATGCTGGTTCCAAGACAGACGAATTAATCTACGACTTCGAAGTTATGACTGTCAACAGTGGCGTCGGAGCCAAGTCGCGACTGTGACGCCTGTTTGTATGATGGCATTAGATATGTCGTCTTGCCCTCGTTCATTACCAGATCCATTTGCTTCGCTTCTTTATCCAGTCCGGAGAAAACMGAACTGACGGCGCGGTTGTTGATGCCAATGATATCCATATCATTGGCATACACCAGCATACACCAGCAGCTGTACACTCTTATAGAGGATTGTACCTTCTCTCAGCTCTGCAGCTCRAATTATTCTCTCCAGGAATAAATTGAAGAAGTCACACGAAAGGAAGTCGGCTTTTTTAAAACCTCTTTCAGAAGAGCTCGGAGAGGTCCTTTCCGAATAGTTAGTTTACCGAATTCAGACATAGCGGCATAAAGGCAGCCCCTTTTCGTGCCGTCAAAAGCAACTTAGAAATCGACGATGAGGTGGTGTGTCTCGAGTCTTTTGTCACGGGACTGTTACAAGATTTGGCGCATTGTAAGTATCTRGTCAGTTTTGACCTATAGCCATACTGCCTCTTCATACTGGTTCAATCAGTTTGTTGACGGTTGGCTTTAATCTTTCACTCAATATGCTCCATAGAACCTTATATTGTCTTCAGACGGGTAATTGCTATGCAAACTACTTCAAATAGCATGGAGGATGGAGCCATGTACAGAAGTTCACACAAATGAGGAAAGTTCTCTGAGCACTATTCACTTGGGAGTGACCAGAWGCGATGCTTGTACATATGGGTCAAGCAGCTAACGCTAGTYCTAGAGCAAGTATCCTCTGGGTAGCCAAAAAACATCTCTTTGAAGGCGAACTAAAGTAAAAAGCCGACACATTCCCTCCCCAGTGTTGTGCGCTTGGGGTTTTTTCGCCGAAACAATCCCAAGCAAAAGAAGATGGGATACTAACTACACCCATATAATATGTTGTCTCTTCAAATCGAATTAAGAAAMAAAMAAAAAAAAAAACTCTAAAGATATGCTATAAGTAATACATAAAACACATTTCAACCGTTTATTAATCTAAATTTCGAGTAATGATGTCGTAAATACGATAAAATCAGCATATGTTCATAATTTGGATTCTATATGTATGGCTAGCGTGCCGTCTTCTTCATTTTGACCGATAGAAATGTTGGCGCGTCCATCTGAGCCGACGACCACACGCTTGCCAGAGCAACTAGAGCCTGCTTTGTCGCCGGAAATGATATCACAATAAGTACCAGCTGGCAAGCAGGTCTGCAGCGAAGTATTAAGATCAGCAGCATCGCCATTAATTGCCACGAAACCTTTKTTGCCGCGACAGAAGGCGATCTGGTTRCTGCTATTGTCCCACCAGTTTTCTAAATTTGTGCCAGCCACAATGTTCCTGAAGCCAACCATGTTGTAAATTTGACGCCAACGATGCTCACATACCCAACCACCGCTACAGGAATTATCAGCATTGAATATGGGACTGGCAATGCTATTACCGTCCGTTGTKGGTGGACCTTGATCGGTGTTGTCGAATGCAAACGACGACATGACACGCGTAATACCAAATGGATGAGCCAACATGAAAGCGCTGGCCATTTTATATTGCTTCGATGTCTTATAGTTGAGAATATCTGCACCACCAGCGCCATGTCCACGTTGATTGTCGTGGTTGTCTACGAAAATCAGTGCACGATCTGAGTTAAGGAAACTCCACTCTGGACCCCAGTTGATCAGCCAACGTAATTGATCCTTGCCACGGAATACTCTGCCGATCGAGTTGGAGTGTGCGAACTCGGTSACCACACCCATGTGTGTGTATTCATTTTTGGATATAGCCTCACCACCCAAATCTATAACTTCTTGGAATATGAAAGRGCGCGTACCGGTGGGAAAACCATGATCAACGCTTAAATTGCTAACACGATTGTAGATTACCTAGGCGCGTGAACAAAAGTATATTACTATCGTAATAGAAATGTAACGACCAATTTACCTCGAGATCAGCCGGCCACATATGCTTGGCAGCATCGACACGGAAACCAGCCACACCCAGACTAACAAGTTTGTTGAGAAAGTCGACTACACGATCTTGTACCCATGATTTGCTTTGATCCAAGTCCTTCAAACCGGAGAGTTCACAGTTTCGTACCTCATATTTATTATTATAGTTRTTAATAGTGCATGAGGYGTGGAAATCTGTATTTGAATACGGCACGGCTGGGAAGCTTTTGTTACTCGGATCGGCCGTTGARCCACCTGTGCCGCGCGCATTAACATTATCGGCGGCCATGTGATTGAATACGACATCTACAAATATTCGAATGCCGGCATTGTTACAGCGCCGCACCATGTCCGCGAATTGTTGTTCGTTGCCCGAACGTGTGGTCAGTAGGTATGAGATGGGTTGATAACGTTCCCACCACGGACGATTGGCCACAACGACATTCTCATTTACTGGCGAAACCTATTGGTTGGGGTAAATGTAAATAAAAGGTGGATTTTTGCATGAGTATACGCAAAGCTGTTTGGTAAGCATGTCATTTATTGGCTTTGGACTTACTTGAACACCTCCGTAACCTTTAGGGCCTAGAAAGTTTTCACATTCTACCGCAATATCATCCCACTTCCACTCGAAAAGATGCACCATAGTAGTCCTTCCGTCCACATAGTTCGGATCGAATTGGGCATTGATATTTTGGCACAATATTGCCAAGAATACTGCCAGACAGATATGCGCTTTGCTCCGATACATTTTTGCCAGGCGACAACTTCTATTAGGATGTGACAATATGCAATTAAAGTACTCTTCTAGAGAATATGAGCCGAACAACTAATTAGCATCGCTTTCTACCTCTTTTATAGAAATTCCGTTAGTTTAGTTTGCAAATTGTGAGCGAATTTGTAGTATAGTTGTAGGTAGTGAATAATGCAGTTCAGTGCTGAATCTATCTGGATTTAACTAAACGGTTATCGGTTACTAATCAGAAATCATTCATCAATCGGGAAAAGAAATCACASCTTAAATGACCACGTATAATGTTTATTTTTTAAAGGGATCTATTATTGATATAAATTGTAATGTGGTTTAGAGTTACYGCTGAATATTTCTGAGGATGAAGAACTCTGATCGTGAGATCGCTAATAAAAGATATGGCACAAAGAGTTGATCTTGTTTTCGAGTAGGAAAAGTGGTTTCGATAGAAAAAAGTTAAATTACTTGCTATAAAAGGATCTCCAAGTAAGCCCTGAGRATAATGATATTTGCAGATTGACTGCAGACGGCTCTCGACAATGCTTGAAACTGAAGTTCACTGAAGTTCACATCATTAGAAAGGTGGTTGATTTTCCCTCGTTTCCTATTTCGTTGGAATGACTGCTACCTTGATCTACGAACTTCCTRTAAAATTACACGTTTACAACCTGAACCCCTTGCTCCAAGATCGGCGACGCTGTAGACGTCACTAAAACAGACGCCACGTCCCCCCTCGTAGAAGCATTACATTATGTGGATTGTTTTAGTTTCGATGTTTACGATGCTACGACATTACCGTTTCGGGAAACCCCGCCAGTGAGTAGCCAAGTGCTGTCATCGCTCTCAGGATCATTGACCTTTCTAAATGCCTCATCGTAACAAAATAACAATTCTCGAAGAGTGCTTTCCAAGTTCATGTTAAAAAGACACATTTACGCTTTCCTATTTCGTTGGTACGACTGCTACCATGACCTATGAACTTGCTATAAAATTACACTTTTATAACCCGAACCGCTTGTTCGAAGACCGACGATCGCTGTAACGGTCACTATCATGTGAAACAGACGCTACGTCCTTCCTCGCAGACGGATTGCTTTAAGTGGATTCTTTTAGCTTCGGTGCTTACCTTCGACCTTACAAATTTGGGAGCCCTTGCCAGCAGCTAAGCTACCGCCGTCCTCGATATTGGGATCATTGGCCTTAGTAAATCCCTCTTCGCAACAAAATAACACTCCTCGAGGAGATTTTTCCAAGGWCATATTAAAAAGCCTCATTCAGAAGATTTGTTTTGAATCTTTCGTAATATTTTTGATATTTATGGGTTGTTGAAATTATAAGGTATGTATGATGTACTGTTACTTGAATTATCATATTTCTTYACATGGTTACTCGTCTAGCAAATTCAATCACTAACGACTACCCAGAAGCACTTGTGTATGCACATTGCTTTTGAGAAGTAATAAATAATCTATATCAAAGATACTGTTAGTTTTGAAAACAAGTCATTTTTCATTTGTATTAATTTGTTTAGAAAACTTGGAATAATGCAACCACTGATATGGTAAAAATGATAAAATTTTCCGCTAGTGAATAACAACGACACTTTGTAGTTGTAGTGAATGGGGTTTGCTAATGGGTAAACAAAATATTATGAAATAAAAACTACCGTTTCTTATTTACGACCATAAGTCCAGGTATATTACGTATATATGTATCGACGTTTAGACATTTGTATCCACGGTATGAATTTTAAATATCTATTAAGAGATTTTCGGAGACTGAGAAAGGCCTATTTACCAAATACAAAACAATATGGATCAATCGATTCTTGAGTAAGGTTCGATAATTTAGAAWCTAAAGTATTAAATTTACTGAAACAGAACTTCTTTTTTTTTTTATCGGCAAAGACACTGCTGACTTATCAGAGAGGACTGTACTTCTCAATTGCCTACTCAGTCCGAAGTAGCACCTGTTGGCAAGAGTTATTCTGCGTTGGATTTCGAGGCAATGCACCTACGTATTCAATGTAGTTCGAATTTCTCAAAAATTGACGCACAAATTTTTATGAACGTCATAAAGTTCGCCTTAAAAATCGCTAGGTGGTAGGCGGAAAGGTTGTTCAGAATGATCCGTAGAATATTTTCCTCATACGCGATTTTTCCGTTTTTTTTTATTGAGTCGGCTCGCTTACTAATGGAAAGAAGGAAACCAAACCACCATCATTTACTAAATTGACAAAAAAAAAAAAATCTATGTGATTTAAAATTGAACTAAAATTCGTAATCGTGACACCTCAAATACCCTACAGCTCTCTTAGCACATCAGTCGCAGGTTTTTCCTTCAAATTTGTTGATTAGTGTTATCGTTGAAATACTCTTATATACATTTACGAGTTCATATATTAAATGTTAAGTTGAATTTAACAAACTCTAGATGTTACCCAAGTTAGCTGAATATTCTCTGATCTTGTCTGTCGCAAATTCCGGCTGAAAGGATTTTGATTWTGTTCAAAATAGGATTTTTGCGTAGTGGTAACAACCACTCGATTTTGATAAACCGAAGTTTAAGATCTRGCCTTTGAATATATCATTATCGTTGATAATTAGTTGGGTATTTTTTGGATTGGATCTTAAAACACACCGAGTACGTGTATCTTTCATCGTTAAAAAAATATCACATATGTATATGTCGGGGAGTAAATGTCTCACCTTTTTGGAGAAATTTAATGCGATTCCATTCGCGTTATTTCGTTTCAGATTTTTCATCATTAATGGACAGCCACTAGTGAGCGTGTTTTTAGTCTCAGCTAAAACGGACAACAAAAGAAGTTGTCTTCGGCTGCACCGAAGTTGTAAAATAGGTGCCTTTCTTACATCAACTAAATCTGAAGACACAGCCCTTTTCAGTCACTTTGTTCGATATAAACAACCTTCAAGTCGAATTAAGGTTACTTAAGAGCTAAACTGAAAAAAATTGCAGCTGCATCGACCATTCACAGCCTCATTTCTCATGGCATTAAATGGCATAAAAAGATCTTTATCTTACTGGTCGAACTGTTTGCGTGACAGCTATGTGCTATAGTGGTCCGATCTGAACAATATTTGCATATTTGTAACTTATAGTGTTATCTTGCACAATAATCCTTTTTTTTTTTGGTATTTTGGAGTTTTCATTTACTACAATGCCGGTTAGCAGATGTAACGTATCGAGAAGCATTAACTAAAGCGCTTAGTACTTTACTTTGTAAGCCCTGAATGCTGGCAAAACACCTTTGACTTGAGCAATCCCAATTGTTGGGTTGTTAATCTGATTTCAAAACTTGATTGTATACTAAAAGTTTGTTTTGAATTGATAAGGTGGATTTACTGCCAAATCGGTGGTAAAGTTTAGCAAATTTCATACCAAGCCAAGCACACTTCTTTTATTTTACATGCTTAGTTACTTAGCACTGTTATGATGTGTTATAGGAATATTATTAATATGAATCGGACGGTATGTCGATTTTTTCAAGGTAAAGTCAAAGTGAAGTGAATTGGTGTCGTTTAATTTGATACGKCACTTAGATGCCCACTTAGCAATTGCATTGACTGCTGTCTGCACTCGTCGAGTAGGTACCGAAATTGACTCTCCAGCTGCTAACAAATCTGTGTCATCCGCAAGTGTCGCTGTTACATAGCTTGACTCGGATGGATTTCAGTGGTAAAAAGCAAATAAAGCATTAATCCCAACATGCTTCTTTGGGGAACACCCGCTTTTATCGGTTGCAAGTTGGAACAATAATCCGAGTAAACTTTCGTGCAGATACTGTCAAGTGAAGAAGTACATATAAGGACTTGATTTTAATTGATCACTTAGTTTAACAGCTATCGGCGGTACCAAGTAATGGACAGTTTCTGGAAAAAAAAAAGAAAAAAAAAAAAAAAAAAAAAACCTA